GAAGATCAACATACTGCACAAAATATTGCAGAAGGAATAGACAAAGTTATACAAGAGCTTGGTGTCGACAAGTTTGTAGCTGTTATTACTGATAACGCACCTAACATGAAAGCTGCTTGGCGTATCCTTAAAAATAAATACTCAACAAAAGTATTTTTAGGATGTTGGGCACATGGAATTAATCTTTGGATCAAAGATATTCTAAAATTAGATTGGCCAAAAAACATATTAGAAACCAGCAAAGAAATTATTAATTATTTTAGAAATTATAATATACCACTAGCTGCACTTCGTTGTCTTCAAATAGAAAAATATGGACATATAATTTCTTTAGTAAAACAGTAGATATACGTTGGGGATCTGCATTTTATTGCATGGATCATTTGTTACAAACAAAAAATGCAATTTGTTCATTATTAATAGAAGAAAGTATAGAAATTAGTCCTAATATCAAAATTCATTTAATGAATGATCTTTTTTGGCAAAATCTTAAGCATCTTCGTAACTTTTTAGAACCTTTTGTCAAATTTATTCACAAATTAGAAGGAGACGTACCACTTTTATCTGCAGATTTTCTTAAGTTACGTCAACTAGAAACAACAATATGTAATAATGATTATGTTCCAACTACAGTAATCATGGAAAGTATAAAATTAGTAGAGCAACGTTGGAATGATTTTTTATACAATCCAGCAACAATGACTGCATATAAATTAGATCCACGATATTGCAGAGAAATTTTAAATCCAAACAAATAGGATGTGCCAATTGAAAGAGAGCTTATACGTTTTGCTGGACCAGAGAATAAAGACCAAGTTTTAGAAGAACTTTCAGAATATGTAGGAAAAACTGGTGGATTTTCAGCTAATTATTTATGGGGTTCGATAAAAGAAAAACCATATAATTGGTGGAATTTGGTTAAAGCCTGATATCCAGTATTAAGTAGTATAGCATTAAAATTGCTTTCAATACTAGCAATATCAGCTTCCTCTGAACGAAACTGGTCATCGTTTAATTTTGTCCACTCAAAATTACGTAATCGCTTACATAATCCATGTGTAGAAAAAATAGTATATATTTACTAGAATCTTCAAATTTTATGTTCTTTAAAGTGGCCACTTTCAGTTAAAGAATTAAGAAATAGGGGCTATTTAATTGAAGACAACGTAATTAATTTAGAATTAAATGAAACCAACTCAGTTGAGGAAAATAATATAGATGATTCTTTATCTAATAGTCCGTTATATATAGATAGTATGGATTATGCTGACGAAATTGACGATGTAAGTATTGACAATATGAGCGATATATATTATAGATAATATAGATAGTATAAATGATATGAGCAATGATGAGAAATAGAAGAGCATTAATGAAATATATATTGGATAATAGCAAAGTAAGATATTCATATATTATCACAATTTGCATGAACGGGCGATTTTGATGAAATGTTTGCACTTAAACTTATTAATTGCTATTATGAAATTAGAATTACTATAAGGAATTCGGTTATTATCAAAAGTCCTCAAGATGAGAAAAGTTAATTGAACATATGTTGTTATGGAAATGTAATTGGAGTCGAAGCAAGATAAAATTTAAAATATTTATACATTATCAAAAATCTGCTAAATAATTTTATAAGGCATTCATTATTATCAAAACTTTGCAAAGTTAGAAACACTAATGGAACGTATAATTTGGAATATAAAATAAATATAAACATTGAGGTAATAATGAGGTAAATCTTTATATATGTATTTAAATTAAAATTTTTTATTCTTCTATTCGGTTCAGTTAATTTACTCAGTTAACTAATATCTTAAACAAATATCACAGATTATTTAGATGGAAAGCGTTAATAGTTTACTCATACATAGCTGGATACTGTTATCAAAGTGGAACTGGTGTTGAAAAGGACAAATATATGGTGTTCATTCATTACAAAAAATAAGCTGAAATGGAAGGTTCTAGTGCA